TCTGTCCAATGGTGAGAGAGGTGTGTTGAAGTCACCCATAATTATTGTGTTGTGRTCTATTTGATTCTTGAACTTGATGAGAGTTTGTTTTATGAACGTCGAAGCACCATTATTTGGTGCATAAATATTGATAATTGTTATGTCTTGTTGGTGAATGGTTCCTTTTAACAGTATATAATGTCCTTCCTTATCCCTTTTGATTAACTTAGTTTTACTTTTTATTTGAAGATATCATCTTACTGCGTTTCTGAGGGTGGCCTTGAACTTATGTTCCTCCTGTCTCAGCCTCCCTAGCTGCTGGGATTTCTGGCATGTGCCACTGTACCCAGCCAGAATTTTATTTAAAAAAACTAATCTTTCAGTTAAAAATTAATTACATATCTTAAAAATGAAAGCAGAATAGTCATTTTGAACTTTAGAGTTTGTTAAATAAAAATTATAGGAAGCTGTTGTTTTGAACTCAACTCCTGTACAGATCAAGCTAAAAATCAAAATGGAGTCACTAATGCTGAAGTTCCATGTCACCAAGTTCAAAGTAAACTGTTTATCTGAGCTTTTGAAAAATCAGGATTAGAGAACTAACAGCCAAATTTCTCCAAATAGGCCAGTTTCAATTGGCATGATAATGAAGTTCTCTATCAATTCTTGCATACAAGAGAAGTAACCTAAAGTAGTCTAATGTTAAGCAGGTATTTTTATATTGTTCTATCTCCCTGTTACCATCTTAGAAGGAAAGTAACTTTGAAGTGATAAATACACTTTTTTTTAATAAATACACTTCTTATTCTTTTGTTTCTGCTTTCTTCATCCTTCTTCTGTAAAACCAGCCACTTCCGTTCAAGCCATCAGAATACTTCTATTTAGTGGAATAAACTGTTGCCTGTTCCTCARATTAAAAATACATCCAATTAAAAGCTTTAAACTAAATTTTAATTTTGTCCTTTGTCAGATCTAGAAATTTATTATAAAATGTTTCAGATCTAGCTGGCTGTGGTGGCACACGCCTGCCGTCCCAGTTACTTGGGAGGTTTAGGCAGGAGATTGCACATCCAAGGCCAGCTTCAGCAACTTAATGAGACCCTGTCTCAAAATAAAATAAAATAAAAGGACTGGGGATGTAGCTCAGTGGCAGAATGAGGTCCTAGCTTACTTGAGGCCCTGGGTTTGATCCCAGTACAGGAAAAAAAAAAACATTTAAGTAATAAATAATAATTTGAATTTTAAGGTATAACAGTGTTGAAATAATACCCTAAAGTATGGCACTTTGGTTGGATGAGTACTTTTTTTTTTCTAGTACTCAGGATTGAACCCAGAGGTACCCTACCACTGAGCTGTATTCCCTGCCCTTTTTATTTTGAGACAGAGTCTCACTAAGTTGTTGAGGCAGTCCTTGAACTTGGATCCTCCTGCTCAGCTTTCTGATTGCTGAGTACTCTGAAAGGACATGGGAGAGGTGTTAGAGCAAAGTTTCTCTCTGCCCTCCTGCCCTCCTTGTCTCCTGACCCCATTTTTTCTTCTGAGGTGAGTTATAGAAACCTGAGTTCCTCTTCCCCAAGGCAGGCCTTAAAGACTAGAACTCCTTTCTCCCAAACAAGCCATAAAACCTAGAAAACTTATTCTCTCTCTTCTTCCTTGAACACCTTCCTTCTAGCGGGGCGGGGGGGGGGGTCCTGCCCCAAACTTGGGAGTAAAGAATGCTACACAGACAAGTCTTGCTGGTTTCCCCCTATTTCCATAGATCTTCCTCTTTTGTCCAATCACATTTCTATATACCTGTCCATTCCTCATCAAACCTAAACAYTAAATAACAGACAGTTTTCTTCAGTCTTCATTTCTGAAGGCTCACATCTCAAGTAAAACTTGATCAAATGACCTTGATTGGCCTCTCTTGTAAACCTTCCTTTGGTTATAGAAGTGTCATCTGTGACCCTTATGATGGTTAATGAAAGGTATCACACTTTCTGCCCATACAATAGAATATGACCTAGTCTGCTGTTCACTTAAAAGTGTGTGACTAGTAATTTGCCTCTGATTAAACTATAGGTAGTGGAAAACCACTGAAAATGACATGTAGGAATCATGTAGTTTTTTGGACAGATCAATCTGGTGATCCACGGTTGGTGATTAAGGATAGTGAGGTTTTTGCAGAAGCCCAGGAGGGCCCAAGGCAATCCATACCAGTATCAACTTTAGAAAACAGTAAAAAGAAAAAAAATGGATGTGGTGATGGGCAAGAAAAAAGAACCAAGATAGCTCTAATGGGGGCTAGGGTTGTAGCTCAGTGGTGGAGAGCTTGCCTAGCATGTGTGAGGCACTGGGTTCCATCTTCAGCACCACATAAAAATAAATAAATAAATAAATAAATAAACAAACAAACAAATAAATAAATAAATAAAGGCATTGTGTCCACCTACAACTTAAAAAAAAAACTACTAGTAAAGTATATTTTTTAAAAAGATAGCTCTAATGAACTAAATAGTTGTGAAGGTACAGAGACTAAATCGATGACCATACCTGCAACCCACTTTGGGAGGGCTTGTTAAAACACTGGTTGCTGAAGCCCTGACACCAGTTACTGATTTAGTAAATTTTGGGGTAGGACCCAAGAAAATGACATTTCTAGCAAGTATCCAGATGATGTTCATGCTCCTGGACTGGGACCTTACTTAGAGAACCCCTACCTTGGCCCACACCTATAATTTCAGAGGCTCAGGAGGCTGAAGCAGGAGAACTGCAAGTTCATAGCCAGCCTCAGCAAGTTAGCCAGGCCCTGAGCAAGTTAGCAAGACCTTAGGGACCAGTGATGTGGCTCAATGGTTAAGCCTCTCTGGGTCCAATCCTCAGTACCACAAAAAAAAAAAAAAAAAAAAAAAAGAGAGAGAGAACTGCTGCCTTACAGTAATTCTATTCTGATTTTGCTAAGACCTTGACGAACACTTTGTTAAACCAGCAGGTGGAGACAAGTATACAGTATCCTCTAAAAATAACCTGCTTTATACAGCAGGAGTTACAGTGTTGCCATGGAAACTTTTGAACTACTTTGGAGAGCATTATGTAAATCGGCATCAGGTGAAATAAGCCTAAGATGTTTATGTAAAAATTTACTTTGGAAGCAATAATGTTTAGATTCCTGTATGCCATAGTGTCATAATTAAGAACTTGAAATTGGAGTTAGCTCTGCCACTTAAAAGCTATGTGACTTAGGGATAGTTACTTCTGTCATCCTGTTTTCTCATCTTTAAAATAGTCCCTTCTTCGGCTGGGGTTGTAGCTCAGTGGAAGAGCGCTTGCCCAGAATGTGTTAGACATTGAATTCAATTCTCAGCCCCACAAACAAATTAACAAAATAAAGGTCCATCAACACAACAAAAAATATTTTAAAATATAGTTCTGGGGCTGGGGATGTGGCTCAAGCGGTCGCCTGGCATGCGGGGGGCACTGGGTTCGATCCTCAGCACCACATAAAAATAAAAAAATAAAGATGTTGTGTCCACCGAAAACTGAAAAATAAATATTAAAAAATTCTCTCTCTCAAAATATATATATTCCCTTCTTTGTAGAATTGTCGGAGGGTTAAAGTTCTTAGAATTTAGGTTGGTCATTATTAAAATACTGTTATTAGCTATTAAGACTTTAAGTAGTCAGTATTTTCAGCTCTTTAGCGTCCCTCAACTTTAGGAATAGTTCGAATACATTGGTTTATTTGGTTTTTAATAACCAGTGCTCCCGATATTCACGCAACAAATTGAAAACATCTAGAAGGTGATTGCTTGATAAATTCTAACCTCGCCCTACAGTAGGTGAATCTTAACATGCCGGAGTCAGAGAGCTTTAATCTACATCTGATCTTCTAGTCGTAGATGCCCAAAGGTGGGGTGATGCCAGGACTTTGAGCTTCGAGATGGAAGAAAGCAGATGGATGCTGGCTTTGTCTAGGGTAGCCAATCGAGTGGGGTCCAGTCGSACCCCGGACGGCGCAGCCCAGCCAACCCTTGGCAGAGTTAGCAACTGAGGGGCGTGTATTTGCATGAAAAGCGAGATCTTAGAGACTGTCAGTTCGTGTATTCCACCGAGTTCACGAACTCGGGGAGGGCGGGCCACTTCACATGAAAGGACACACCTGTCTGTCTCTGGGCTTTTATTGGCCGGCCCTTGATACAGCCTCCTAGGCGTCAGCAGCAGGGGCGTGTCCCTGGTTGGGACCGCCAGCTCCAGGGTGGAATGATGTCATCGTAGGCGTGTCCCGAGAACCGGAGGAGCAGTGGGCGGGGCCCACGGGAAGGTGTGCCGGGGGCTGGTTGGGGGCGCGGGCGGTGTGGCCGGGGCGGGGCCTAGGTGGCGGTGACGTCACGGGGCGGCGCGGCCCGGCCGGCGTCTATAGGTAAGCTCTGCGGCGGTCGGGGGCCCTCACTCGAGGCTGCCAGCAGCACCCACACGCTTCTCTCTTGGCTTCCCGGCGCTTCTGATCATGTCCTTGAGGGGCAGTTTCTCGCGTCTTCTTCGGACGCAAATGCATTCTGTCCTGAAGAAGTCCGTCCACTCTGTGGCTGTGATAGGAGCCCCTTTCTCTCAGGGACAGGTGAGAGCTGGGAACCGACACCGTGGGCAGGATTTCCCGGCTCCCAGAACTGGAGAAAGCGGCGGTGGGGTGCTGGAGGCCCGGAGGCGAGGCCAGGAGAGGTTGGGGCAACGGTGAGGGCGAGAGCCGGCGGTTTCCTGCGATTGGGCACCGGGAGAACGCGTGGGATTTAGCCGGACCGAGATGGAGAGGGAGCGAAGGGGGGATGGATGGTGCAAGGGCCGTGGGCAGCGAGAGGGCGGGCTTCAGCGGCCTCCCCAGAAAGAGCGGGAGAACGGTAGCCCCAGTCTGGGGTGATGGAAGGGAGGAAAGGAGGAAGAGGGTTCCTCCTGCCTCAACTCCTGAGTCGCTGGGATGACAGGCATGCACCACCGTGCCCGGCCTTGCTTCAGCTTTCACTGCACTCAACATTTTCCCCTACAATTATTCGCCGAGGAAGGCGAAACCCGCCACAATGCCCGGTGGAAAATCGACGGAGAGGAGGTGCGAAGAGGATCCTTTCTTCCAGAAAGCGTTAACCGGGAAAGAAATTGGCACTGTTCTCTCCCGGGGCGGGAGGACCCGAGGGGCTGTTTTGTTTTCTCTTCAGTGAAAGAAACCTGCAGTCGTAGAGGGCTTGCTCACTAGTGGCCAGATACCTGGCCCCAGCTAGCCACAGCCACACACACCCAACCCGCAGATCCTAACCTGTCTCAGCCCCTCCCTTGTTTTGGACTTTGCTGACCCTTCTCGCAGGAGGAAGTTGATTTAATCCAAGGAATGGAGTTGTTTCCCAGTGTAAAGGTTAGATAAAATGGCCAGACCTCATAGATGGAAGTAATAGATGGAAGGACAGATGCTGTGTCAGGTTTTCAGAGGAGTCTATTAGGAACCAAGTGTAGTACTGCAGATTTCTGTATTTTTTTTTTTTTTTGTGAACTAAATTATGTGTGTGTGTTTTGCCCCCATCTTTCCTTCCATCTAACTATAATTTGTGTGATTTGCAGAAAAGAAAAGGAGTGGAATATGGTCCAGTTGCTGTTAGAGAAGCTGGCTTGCTGAAAAGACTCTCTGCTTTGGGTAAGTGGCTGCATTTTATGTTTGTACAGGACTGTTAATGGACCACTTTGGAGTTTTCTCTCTCATTTTTTTTTTTTTTTTAATGGTACTGGGGATTTAACCCAGGGGTGCTCTACCATTGAGCTACATCCCAGCCCTTTTTATTTTTTTGAGATAGGGCTTTTTTGCTAAGTTGCTGAGGCTGGCCTGGAACTTGTGATCCTCCTGCCTCAGCCTCCCAAGTTGCTGGGATTTCAGATGTGTGCCACTATGTTGGGCTTGGAGTCTTATCTCTTATATCCATGGCCTACAGTGTCATCTGTGTACTTGGGAACAATCTGCCACATCTATCTCTTGTTCTTTGGATTACATCTGCAGTTTAAGATCTGTCAGGGAATCTTTAGGGAAAGTTGCAATAAAGAGTTGATGTGGAAGTCCAGGGGTGAAATGAGGCTGGGCCTGGGACAAGCTGCTAATGGCATGCATCAGGTGCTGAGAACACTTTCACCAGCTGTTTTTTTTTTTTGGTCCTGGGGATTTAACTCAAGGAAGCTTTACCTGAGCTACATCCCATTCCTTTTTATTTTTTATTTTGCAACAGGGTCTCATTAAGTTGCTTAGGGCCTTGCTAAGTTTCAGAGGCTGGCTTTGAACTTGCAATCCTTCTGCCTCAACTCCTGAGTCGCTGGGATTACAGGCATGCACCACCATGCCCGGCCTTGCTTCAGCTTCAACTGCACTCAACATTTTCCCTTACAATTATAGTTTTCAAAACTCAGTCTTGAGATGCTTATGAGTCATCAATCAAATTTCCTCTCTTCAAATTCATTTCCTCTCTAGGGTTTATGGTTTTGCATTACTGTAAGCAGGGCGTAGAGCTGTGTTTTTCAAACCTACCTGATTAGAAGATCACCTGAGTTACTCATTAAAAATATAGGTTCCTAGACTCCTCCATGGAAGAGTCTGGTCATTGGGTCTGAGGTGGGACCCAGATTTGTGCATTTTTCTTTTGCTTTCATCTTTTTTTTTTTTCCCCCTGTGATACTGGGGATTGAACCTAGGGGGTGCTCTACCACTGAGTTACATCCCTAGTCCTTTTTTCATTTTTTTTATTTTGAGACAGTCTTGCTAAGTTGCCCAGGCTGGTCTTAAACTTGCAATCCTCCTGCTTCAGCCTCCTGAGTAGGTGGGATGACAGAAGTGTACCACCGTGCCTGACAGATATAAGCATTTTTACAAGCCCCTCAGATAACCAGTCTTAAAAGTTGCAGTCTTGTAATTAGGATAGTACTTCAAGTTTTTAGAAACAAAAGTAAATCTGATCCAAAGATAAATGCAATTTGTATAGTAATGGCATCTTTTAGTAACAGGGTACCAAATTTCATAACTTTATAGATAGGAAGGTTCTCCTTATGTCTAACCTAAATATTTCTGGCTGATACTCAAGGTCATTTCCTCCATTACATATTTTTTTTCTAGTACTGCAAATTCCAAATATGTGACAGCAGGGTGATCTGGAGATAGGATCACAGAATTCCCTACTCTTCCTCTAAAATCTCTGCTGATGAGTCCATTACACGGATCAGTAATCTCCTTCCAAAACCTGCAGGAATAATGAAGTTACTGAAATCATCTAAAGTTGAGGTGTATGCCTCCACCTTTATAAGGATATGACGACTCAGATTGAATATTCAAAATTCTTCTCTGTTCAATAATTGCAGTTTCTTCTTCAGTAGTATCTCCTTCTTAGTCATTTTAATAACTCACCAAGTTCACTACCAAAGTGAAAGATAAACTGCTAAGATTTGGTCTTTTTATTTTTTACAGTGCTAGGGATCCAACCCAGGGACTCAAGAACCTAGGCAAGTGCTCTAACACTGAGCTACACCCCAGTCCCGGTCTTCTTTTAATGTGTCAAGGTAGCTACTGGGAGGAGGTTTTTTGTTTGTTTGTTTTTGGTGTTGGGGATTAAATCCAGAGTGTTTTACCACTGAGTTACATCCCTAGCCCCTTTTTGTTTTTTATTTTGAGAGAGAGTCTCACTGAGTTGCTGAGGCATGAATAGCAGGCTGGGGAAACCAAAAAAAAAAAAAAAAAGAGAGAGAAAGTAATTTTCCTTAATTCCTTTGTTCTTGCCTTTTGCTCTGATGTCACTAGCTGCTCTTCTGTGTTGCTATGGCGTCACATAAACTTCTGTTTTCTTAGGTGAATGTATTTATTTGACTTAGTGTCTGGACTTGTTTTTCCATTTCCCTGGACTCAATAGGGCATGAGTCTCATAGGTAACCATTTATTTTAGTACATTAAGAGGGCCAGACAGAAATGAAGAGAGATGGCTCTGTCAAAGCTCAGAGGCAGGGCTGGGGTTGTAGCTCAGTGGTAGAGCGCTTGCCTGGCACGTATGAGGCATTGGGTTCAATCCTCAGCACCATATAAAAATAAATAAATAAGATAAAGTTATTGTGTCCATCTACAACTAAAAAAAAAATGTGTTAAATAAAAAAATCTCAGAGGCAGTCCATCTGCTCCTGATTCTAGTTAGCTCTGATGTCCACAGCAGTTTGTCTTTTTCTCATTAGAAGTAGAATGATTGTCTGTGGGAAAAGATAGCTGTAAACCAAGATTAAGGCTGTAAGTCTCTATCTTTTTAATTCTGGTAATTTGACTCAGCTGTGCCACTGAAGAAGCCACAGTCACTGAGAAATCTGTTCAAACGAGCTTGCTTCTGACCAGGCCACAAGTCCTGGTGTCCAGAAAGTCATTTGTGGGTTATTCTGGTTCTTCTCAATTAGACTAATGACACTTATTCTTCCTAATCTACTTGGCACTCTAACAGATAGAACAAGAATCTCTTTGGTTGAGACAAGTTGAGAACCAAGAATCTAGTTTGCTTCCACAAGAACTGCTGATAAGAGGACCTGAGATAGTTGTTTAAATATAAAAATCTTAAGTAAGAGAGCTGTTCATTTGGGACAGATCGATATGTGAGTTCAGGCATCTGTATTTGCTTCCAACAGTTGGTAGAGGACTTTAGGAGTCACGGGTTTAGTTGCATGATAGTGATGCGTTAGCCTGGCTTCCTTCCTGCCATTCCTCTGAAGTTAGCATGGAGGGAATTTGTCTCATGACTTTGAAGAGTGAAATCAATGGACACAGGGTGAGAGCAAAGTAACAGAATTTATTAGAGTAATAGAAAGAAAGCAGACTCCCAAAGGGTAGAGGACCCAAGAAAGGGATACTGAAGAGTAGCTATTATCTAAGTGTTTATATGAATCTAAGGGTTAAGGAAGCTAGCCTCCTACCCAACCCTGGGAAAGGCACTCAGTGTCCACAAGCTCTTCATGTGCTCTTTGGTCTGATCATGTTTCCCTGCCCCCTTGTTTTGATGAGGGTCCACTATGAGTTTTTTCTGTTTCTATAGGAATCAGCCTGACCTGGATGAGGCCTGGTGTGTGTTCTCAGCCTGGCTGAATAGAAACCTGACTTGAAGGAGCCCAAGTTTTCTGCCTGTTCATTTTAACCTTTTCTCCTGCCTCAAAACTACCTAGAGAAAGCTCAGATTGTCAGCCTTTATTTTATTGGATTTTTTTATCACCTAGCTGACTGCTTTGTTCCTAAATAGTCTCCTCTGATAGCCAATACTACTCTCTCTTGGCCTCCTTTCTTCATTGAATTGTGGGGGGATCTTCTCCCTAACTCTCACGTTGAGGTTCCCAGTATTATTCCTGCCATTTTCTGATGAATGTGACCAATCTCATTCACTCCCCACTTACTCTCAACAACTTTGACCTTCCTCTAGAAAGCCAAGTTTACTCCTCTACCTTTGTTTTAAGTAGCCGCAGCTCAATGTTACAGATATGTTAAACCCATCATGTTTAAAAAAATGTTCATTTTATCTTCTCTCTCAAATCCACTTTTTCTGTTGTCTTGTCATTATTTCACACTGTCACCCATTATCTAGTTACTCAAGTCAATTCAAAGAACATCACAATTCTTTTCTTTCCCTTTTGCTTCTTAAATCAGTTTATCACCTCATCTTAGCGATCTTATCTCCTAAATGATTAGATTCCTTCTCCACAATACTGCTCAAGTTTTGTTCCTATTGTCACACTGAATATAACTTTCAAATGGTATCTCGTGTCCTCTTTTTTCATTCCTCACTTTAACCTTCTTCAGTGCTACCATAATGGTATTTCTCCCCTCCCCAATTAATGCTAAATACCTTTTATTTGAAATTTT